GGAGAGAAAGAGCTAGAAGAAGGGAAGTGCTGTCCTGGCAGACAAAACAATCATTCCACAAAGTTAGTTACAGTGTCACCTCCCCTATGTCATCTGTCCCAGTCCCCAGTTAGCAGGACTCGACTCTCTGTTCTCAAGGCTCTTTAAACAATCCTCCATAAGAGCATGAATTTGGATTCATTCTCAGCTGATTATTTAGAAGTCTTTTCTCTTGGCAGTGTTGAACTACCTGAACCACGTGCCCATAGAAAAGAGTTATGGTGAAAAATTAACTCCCTGGCCCTTCTTTCCATGTTCCCGGAGATGGCTTGCTACCAAGAACCACTCGTCCCCACACAACTCAGCTCAGTCTCACGAATGACCCCTTGAATACCTATGACAAGACCACACACAGACCTTCCACGTTCCCGTCCTTTGTCTTATTAATGATAAGCTGACATATTTTTCCCCACTGACAAATCAGAACAAAGTGGCCATTAACTGGACTGGACTGAATTTTGTTGGGCTTCTCTTCCTGCCCAGGGCCCTTGAATTTTGACCTAACCTCAGCCTGAACCAGTATGCAACTCCTCTTTAAAGTATAAAGTCTCATCTTGAAGGTAAAACATTCTCTGGACTTCCATGCCATCAGGCCATCCTTGCTCAGGCCACATCCCCACACCCAGTTCCTTCTAGACTTATTCTTCCTTGTAAAAGAAAAGCTCTTCTGTGCCCCACCACCAAAACACTCAGAGATCTCATGATTAAAGTCCTCTATTGCAATAGCTCTCCCCTTTTATTATAATTATCTTTCCCCCAATACAATAATTATTTCCAACAAATTTTCTCTTTATGTAAGTTCAGATTTGTTTTTTGGTTTTTTTTTTTACTTGCTCCACTAGATTTTGATTTTCTTCTGGACAGGACCATGCATGACTTGGCTCTGTACCCTTGGTACCTAGCATCAGGCTCACCAACATAGGCATTGTTACATATTAGCTGAATGAATACAGGGATGAATACATAGTACATGCTAGGTGCTGAGGTATATGCTTGGAAAGACAAAGGAGAACAAGACCTATTCCTTCCTTTAAAGATCCTGCAGCTCAGAGAGTTCCTTCCAGCAACATTTCTCCTCACACAGGAGTTTGTCACCATTTAGGCAAAAACCACACTTTGTACCTGTACCACAGAAGTAGACTAAATCATGCATCAGCCTGCATTTCTGGCTGTTTATCTCCAGCCTGAATTAGAAAGGACTGAAGTCAAGGTGTTTTCTCAATCAAGTGAAAGAGTCTGTTTTTCCTTCTAACTCACTAAGGCCCTTGAGGGAGTTTGGGGTTATTGTTTTTAAAACCTTGAAAGCTGGGCAGGCAGTGCATTCCTCCTATTTCTATTGGTGGGTGTGCTCTGCTAAGCTCAAACGAAGCTTTTGTTGCCAGCATCTGTGTTGTTCTAATTCTTTTCAGGCAGCTCAGGGATGAAAGCACGGAGCGCTGCAGATTTTTTAAAAGGGCTCTCAACTGTTCCACTCAAGGTAACGTCTTTGCCCCCTTCTAGCCATTCCCACATGGGGTCTTTATGTTTTCCAGTTCGCCCAAGTTTCAGGTGATAGGGAGGGTGTCAGTTTCATTTCTTTCTTTACCTCCCTTTCCTGTTTTACTCTTTCTCTGTAAGGAAGGATCCGTTGTCATTTTCTTTTTTGTGCATCTCTGCTCTGTGTTGGAGAAAGGAGGGTCTTGGTGAGCTGTTGCCTTTCTGGGAACAGAGCTCACCTTTGGAGTGGGACTCTTGTTTGTTTTGGAAATAAAGCAGCAGGCTGGGTGGTCTACTCAGTTGCACTTGGGTCTCAGTAATTAGAACCCTGTGGATCAAATAGTAACAGAGTAAAGAGAAGGAGCCTGCTCTCTCTAACTTGAAGCTGAGTTTCCATTTGGGCCCTGCTGGTACCAAAGTAAAACTGGCCGACTCACTGTGTGCAGCATCCTTCTTCCCACAAAATGGAACTGGTTTTTTTTTCTCCTTTCAAGTTCCCCATGTCTTCCCTCAGCTACCATGTAAGTGCCGTCAAAAACACTCCAGACTTTTCTTTGGGACCGAGTATGTTCAGACACTGTTGCTTCTTTGGATTTGGACACATTCAGCCTGTTTACACCTGGAGCTGTTGTCATCCACCCAACAGAGATATCTCCTCTGTGGGTCTAGAAGACACCAATATAATACTCGAAAGGTCAAGTGTAGCTAATGCCTTTCTCCATCTGGTGATGGACCTAGGTTTTGGTGGTTTTTTTCTTTCCTTCCTGCTGTTGCTCCATTGAAGTGCTGTTAAAAAACAAGGGTTGTTAAATATTCTAAGGGGTCCAACTCAAGGAAATCCTATCAAAGAAGGTAGTAACTTCTTGGTACATTCCCATGCCTGAGCACAATTAACAATTTTATCAGCACTGTCAGCAACTTCAGAAAATCTAGTCTGCTGGGATGCTTTGCAGGGGCTTTGTAGCTCTGGCCCAAGGATTTTCTATACATCAGTGACACTAGAAGCATGTTGCTTGGTTGTTTTTCTGAAGACAAAACCACTCATTGATATAGCTAGTCCCCTTCCTGGTTTGCCTGCTAATTGTTACCTAATAAGGATACACGTCAGCACTTACTGAGCCCTTCTATGGGATAGTTCCCGGATGAATAACTGTGTGATCCCATTCAATATTGTTAACCACATTTTGTGTGGTGGGTGCTATGATTAAAAGACTTAGAACGTGGAATCTTCAGAATCAGACTTATTCTAAAATTTACGTCTTAATATTACAAATAAGATGATAAAATCTCACTTCCCCTTTTTCACAACTAAAGTCATTGAGCACTATCAAAGCTCCTGTATTACCGTTAAGACTGCCATGATTGTCACTGGGATTCCTTGTTAAAATACTTCTCATCAGGTCTCAACTGTACAGACTGGGCTTCCTGTTAAATTTGCAACCTGGCAGATCACAGCTTTCCCACTTGCTCCCAGAGCAAATGGTTTTTCAATGATTTTGATGGATTAAAATTTTTGTATTGTATTAACACTCAAAAGGAGATTTAAGCTCAACAAAGTTTTCAGTGAGGATAATCTCTTAACAGATTTTTCAGTATACAATACAGTATTGTTAACTATAGGAACTATGTCGTACAACAGATCTATAGAACTTATTCATCTTGCATCACTGAAACTTCATACCTTTTGAATAGTAACTCCCCATTTCCCCCAGCTCATGGCAACCACCATTCTTGTCTCTGTTTCTGTGAATTTTACTACTGTAGATACCTTATACGAGAGGAATCATGCAATAGTTATCTTTCTGGGGCTGGATTATTTCACTTACCATAATGTTCTCAAGGTTCATCTATGTTGTAGCATATATCAGGATTTCCTTCTTTTTTAAAACTGAATAATGCTCCATCATATTATATAACACATATTCTTTATCCATTCATCCATTCATGGACATTTAGGTTGTAACCACCTCTTGGCTATTGTGAATAGTGCTACAGTGAACATGGGAGTACAGCTATCTCTTTGAGAACCTTATTTCCATTCTTTTGGTTGAATACTCAGAATTAGGACCGCTGTTCCATATGATAATTCTAGCTTTAATTTTTTTAAAGGATTTCTATACTGTTTTCCATAGCAGTTGCTCCGTTATGGCTTCCCAGCAACAGGGTACAAGGGTTATTTCTCTGCACCCTCATCAGCATTTGTCTTACATTTTTTTAAGTAACAGCCATCCTAACAGGTATAAGGTAATATCTCATTGCAGTTTTGATTTGCATTTCCCTGATGATTAGTGACATTAGAATCTTTTTGTGTACCTGTTGGCCATTTGTATGTCTTCTTTGGAGAGAAGTCTATTCAAGTCCTTCACCCGTGTTTTAATAGGGTTGTTAGTTTTTTGCTATTGACTTATAGGAGTTCCTTTCATAGTCTGGAAATTAACTCCTATCCAATACATAGTTTGCACATATTTTTTCCCATTTGGTAGGCTGTTTTTTCACTCTGTTGATTGCATCCTTTGCTTTACAAGAAACTTTAGTTTGATGTAGTCCCACTTGTCCATTTTCCCTTTTGTTGCCTGTGCCTTTGGTGTTATGTCCATGAAATCATAGCAAGACAAATGTCATGAACCCTTTCCCCTGTTTTCTTCTAGAGGTTTTATAGTTTCCCGTCTTACCTTTAAGTCTTTAATCCACTTTGAGTTGATTTTTGTTTATGGTATAAGGGTCCAATTTAATTCTTTTTTGCACAAGGATATCCAGTTTTCTCAATACTAGTCTTGGTACTCTGATCAAAGATCAGTTGATCACATGTGCATGCATGTACTTCTGAGCTTGCTTCTCTGCTCCATTAGTCTATATGATAGTCTTTATGCCAGTACCATATTGTATGTATATTTGCTATGCATTTGAAATAAGGAAATGTAATGATTCCACATTTGTTCTTCTTTCTCAAGGCTGGGCTATTTGAGGTCCTTTATGGTGCCCTATGAATGTCAGAATTGTTTTTTCTATTTCTTTAAAAAATGACATGGGGATTTTGCTAGGGATTGCGTTGAATCCATAGATGACTTTGGATTATATGGGCATTTTAACAATATTAAGTCTTCCAATCCATGAATATGATTGAATGTCTTTTCATTTGTTTATGTTTTCTTTAATTTCTTTCATCAGTGTTTTATATTTTCCAGTGTACAAGTCTTTTATCTTCTTAGTTAAGTTTATTCCTAAGTATTTTATTCTTTTTTTGTGCTATTGTAAATAGGGTTGTTTTCCTTGTTAACTTTTCAGCTAATTCATTGTTAGAATAGAAATGTCTGGAAAAGCTATGAATTTTTGTATGTTGTTTCCTGAAATAAATCTCACTTGGTCATAGTGTAAATCATCTTTTTAAGATGCTGTGGAATTCTGTTTGATAGTGTTATGAAGGAATTTTAAACAAAATATTTAATTTAAAAAATATGCAATGTTTACAATTTTTTTAAAAGATTGGCAATGAAACAGAAGACTCTCTCTTATCTCTGACGCACAGTCTCTGAAGGGAAGGGTAAGAGAAATGAGCAAGCTGAAAGAAAACTCAGACGGAGAGGGATTGTGGTTCTTATTCATCTACTAATTAGCTCCTTGAACACAGTACGCCCTTTCCCTTTTCCATCTCAGTCTCCCAATCTGTTGAATGAGGGTATTAGTGCCTTTTATTTTTACTCTAAAAAGCTAGTTACTTTTGTTATTATTCAATGAAAAGTAATTCATACAAAGGATAAAGACAAACCAAACCAAACAAACAAAAACAGAAGTTTGCATATATGACCCAGAGCAAGTCTTCTCCCACCTACAGTCCAGCCCTGCTCCCTATAGTCAACTGCTGCTAACAGTTTCCTGGACATCTTTCCAAGACTTTTTTCATCATATCCAGGTGTATGTGCATATTTTCTTTTGTGTTTGCTTCTGGTAGAAGAAGAATAGAGGGTTCTGTATAGGAAGAGGCAAAAAAGTACTTCAGTTAATAAAGTGCAGTCTTGGAAACCATACAACCTGGCTTTACATCAAGTTCTGTCACATACCAGCTGTTTGAACTTGGCCAAGTCACTTGATTTTCTGTGTACCTCCAATTCCAAATCTGTAATATTTGGATGATAATAGAGTCCACCACATAGGGTCTGATGTAAACACTAAGTGAGTTAATAAGTAAAAGGTCAGCACCAGTCACTCAGTAAGTGATCATTAAATGTGAGTTAGTCTACACTTCCTTTATTTCTTTGCATATAAGAGGATCTTTCCCCATAAATAGCTTCCCTAACTACATTGTGTAAGAGTGCCATTTTCCCCACACCCACAAAAACTTCGTGAGCTATTAATTTTGTTTATATATTTACCACTCCAATATGTGAAGAATAGTATCTCATTACTGCTTTAATTTGCATATCTTTAATTATGATTAAAGCTAAGCATCTTTTCCTATGTTTATAAGCTATTTATACTTCCCTTTGTATTAACTGCCTGTTCATGTTCTTGACAATTGGGTGGGTTTTAAAACTGATTATTACTTTAAATATTATCTTCAATCAATTCCATTGTATGGAAGTTTCCAGAATTTTGACTCCAAATTGAAAAAAACAAAAAATAACCTACCTTCTTGCATTCCCCATTTAATGGGGAGGAAACCAAGTTTCAGAGAATTTAAATGACTCACATAATCTCAGAGCTAGATAATGACAGAGCTGGAATTTTGACACCTTGTTCTCTCTCTCTCTTTCTTTAATGGGAGCAGCTACACTGCTTTTTAAACAATACCACTTTTCATCTTTGCTAAGATATAGATACAGCCATTAATCATCTCCCTACCACATTCTTTGCTTCACAGAAAGGTAGCCATATGCTTTAGCACGTGGAAAGTCCTATTTACTTGGCTTTCCTATAAATGTGTAGTGTTAAGGAGTAAGCCCACTGCAGTCACCACAAGGAAAGTCTTTTCACAGAACACAATGCTTATTATAACATCTTCAGCACCTCCACTCCACAAAGTTCATTTTGTTTCTGTGTTTCTTCATCTATCATGTCTTCTTGGGAGAATATTATGCTAACATTGTATTCCATTACTTAGTGTTCTGAAAATAACATATTAGGGGATAATTGTGTCCCCTAAAAAATAGAATTGTTTTTACTAAAATGAAATTGATCAGGATGTTAATTTCAGGCTTATATATATATATCTGTACCAGTCAGACAAACCTAGAGGGAGAGCCCTGAAAAGAAGAAAGGTATTCTCATTTCTGAATGAAATGAATGCTGCCATTATTTGAGTGCTTATTTTATTCCAGGCACTATGCTAAACTTTTTGTATACATTACCTCATTTAATACTCACAGCACTTTGTGAGACGAGTGTTCTTTTGTATATGAGAAAAATGATGTTTCAGAAGCCTAAATAGTGCCCAATATCAAATAATTAATAGTTGGTCAAGACAAGATTCCAATCCAGGACTCTGACAGTATTTTTCACATGCACTCATTATGTTATGTTGTCTCTAAGTATAAAGCATATGGTCTGAACTTAGGTTATAAAAGAGACAGAAGACAATATGCTGGTCCATGTGTGAACAATTAGAGATGTCACAAATGGAATAATCAGTCTCCAATTTTAGTGAGGTCCTGCTAGAACAGTAGATAGGGCATTCATATATCAGATGAACAATGCCCTAGCACACTATTTTCCAGAATTGTTCCACAGAACACTGATTCCCTAGGCTAGTGGGTGATTTTTTTAAAAAGGTTCTATGTCCCAGTACTTTTTGAAAATGTTGATTTTATTAAACAGGTTTATTTGCTGCAGTTCTCAGAGTGTTTATTTTGCTAATGTGCATTTTCACAGTCCAGGACACATGATAGAGTGTTCTATGTTTCCTAGTCTGTTTGACTTGCAATTCCCTTCTTAAAGGTCTCATGTACCATGGAATACACTTCGGGAAATCCTGACTAACTGGAATCTCAAAAGTCCCTCCTAGCTCTAGGTATTTATGATGCCATGACTCTATTACTGGTCATGAAGAGTCAAGAGAAATCTGCTATGTATATACATCCTAATCCTATGTTCTTGGCCTAATTAATAAGTAAGTGTTCAACTGTGTCAGTTCTTAATTAAGCTCAAGGTGATATTTTCTGTACAACTTCCTGGCAAGATTATTGATAGTTCAAGCATTAGCTGGAAGACTAAACTGGACCTTGGGTTCCCAAATCTAGCTACATGTCAGACTCAATTTAGGTATTTGTTATAAATACAAATTTCTGGGCCCATCTCCCAGGAATTCTAATTCTATATTTGGCAAAAAGTTCTAGAAACAATTTTTAACAAGTTCTTCAGGTGTGTGTTTTGTCCATATGTGAACATTTGGAAAAAGCCTTAGATACAGAGTCAAGAATGTCTGTGGAGATGCTAACAGAGGAGTTCTCGAACTTGTTCACACACCAGTTTCAAGAGTTCTTACCAGTTCCAAGACCTTGGAAACTAGAGTAGAGATTGTGAAGGGCTCTTTGCGAACAACTCTACAAGTGAATTCTCTGTTTCTGGGTCACAGATGTATACTTAGGGACCACTGGTTTAAATGACTTCTATTCTTCCCAGCCATGATATCCTTACTATCTGAAGAAAAGCATGGTGTCCAGGATGAGGCCGGTTATAGTCTCAACTTGGTGCTTTGCAGATGAGACTGGAACTGGGTGGGGCACTGCTCAGATATGACCATCACTACAAAGAAGCAGAGACAAACTGGACCAAGGTCAGGGAGGAGGGACCGTATGCCATATGAGAAATGGTTGAAGAAACTGGGAGTATTTAGCTTGGAGAGGGAAAAAAAATGTGTGCTGGCAGGATTATTACATTTAAATATTCAAAAGGCTGTCCTGCGGAGGATATATTAAGCTTGTTTAGAATGCTAGAAAATGGCAGAAATGTCTAATCAACAGAGGGTAAAGTACTATGTTTGTGCACTTATTGGGCCAGGAACTGCTCTAGGCATTTTATGATTGCTATTTCATTTAATACTTACAATAAATCTGCAAAATAGTACAGATGAAGAAATAGGACCAGAAAGGTATATTTTCCCATGATCATATGGATAGTATGATAGTGATTAAGGCAGTTAACAAACATTCCATTTCTCCTTCCAGACACAGGGTAAAGTTGTACTTCCCAGCCCTATTTGAAGATAAGGATGGGCATGTGACCTCTGGGTGGAATTTTTAAGTCTCTTATTTGATTTACCAATTCCTCTTCTCCTATAGTGATGATAATAAAAACATTTGCCAACATGAAGCAGAGGTCCTTTGCCAGTATGGATGAGATATTTAACATATAATAGACCTTTCTCAATGACCATGAAGACCCAAGAGAGAGCTGCTATGGATATATACCCTTAATCTATGTTTTTGGTCTAAGCTGTAAGTGTTCTGTGGTATAAATTTCTATTTGTCGCTGGGACTTCGGAGTTATTTGTTATTATAGCATAACCTCACCCATTCTGGCTGATACAGCTTTTAAGTAGAATCTAGTCTATTCTGCTTTCAAAATCTGTGCTCTACTCATTAGAATAGATGGCCTCTCAGATGACCAGTGTACGTACGTTCCATAGCAATGAAAGAGAATATCTCATTATTTAATTCATGCAAATACCTGATAATCACCTGTGGGAGCTATTATAGATGAGATTGATAAATCAGCTAGTTGAATGATCTCTCCCAATTTTGGTAACCAATGATTTCCTAATTCTGTGAAAGACTATTAAACACAAGTGCAAAATTGGTGTGTGTGTGTATGTGTATTCCTCCTTTACTTTTCTAGGCCTAAGGCATTTCTTCTCTGTATGGACCTTGCTCAGCCCCACCACAATTGGTCTTTTTAAGAAAACAGAGATCCTGCTTTTTTCCTAATAGCCATGAAATTTGGCTTCAAATCACAACAACCTGACTATTGGTTTTTATTCCTAATGACTTCCCTGAGGAGAAAAAAGCATTTGCATTTCAGCTCATTCTTTTCTGGCACATAATACAGTCTTACATTTATTTATAAACTTGGTGGGTTGCACCTTCCTGTAGGTTCTCCAAAATTAGTGTTACCCCCAAATATTATTTCTCCATTTCATACTGGGGACATGGAGCAATTTCTGGCCTGAGACTTCCTTATTACTACAATCACTTCCATATCTGCACTGAAGCAGATATCATTTTAGGTGTCACCCCGTTGGAGCTAAGATGTGAGAAAAATCAATAAACAGTTTCTTATCTTCCCATGCATTGAATATTCTTATTTCTTATCTTGGTTTCTATTCATGTAATTCATCCAACTGCAGAGACACTTCTGAAGGCAGCGAATAGACTATAGTCACTAGCTTTGCAAGAACAGAAACCACAAAATTATATTACAAATTATCGGCAGCCCCCTTGAGGGTGGTCATGGGTGTATAGGGCATGTAATGACTGCGAAGAAAAACTTCTCCCTAGAACTTTGGGACTAAATCTGAAAATATCACTCTCCAAAACTGATCAAGTTATCTATTGGATATGACTGGACATCTTCAAAATAACTTAATGAATGGCATTTAAATCTGGGATTATTGAGAAAGGCTACATCCTCCCTCTCAACCATGAAGATCAGAGTGTCTCTTAATCAAATACAGAAACCAGATTGCTTTTCAATCTAATTAAGGTCACCAGAGAATGTGTGTACCCAGGAATGTAGTTTTGCAGTTAGTGTAAGTATGTTCGATGTACTTACTAGTAAAATGCTCTGAGAAAAACAAATTACATGGTTAAGTTGCTAAATACCCATCCCAAAGCTTCAAAAGGTACATTAGCATATCAAAGGTATTGAAAAGACCTGTAGAAAAGACACACCTCTTTAGCTTTGCTTAACCCAGCATTCCCCAGATGGTTTGCAAAGTATTTGCTAATGAGCACCACCCGCTACCCCGGTGTTTTTAAACAAAGAAGCACATTTTGGCAATAACTGAGTTAAGGAAAAAGTAAACTCTAAATGTATCAAATGTTTTATTAATGTGGGAAGACTGATAAGCTTGGCATGGAAATTCTGTTTTCCATTTGTTTTATTTTGAACACCTAACTGATCCTTTGCTCTGAGCCTCAGTTTCCTCTTCTATAAAATGGACATAAAAATGTATGAAGTAAAATATGCTTGCCGTAAGAAGGCAGTGGAGTTTAGTGGTTAAGGGCATAGGTTCTGGAACCATACCCCTTGGGTTTGAATCTTTGCTCCACTGCTACCTATGTATAAGATGTTGAGCAAGTTATTTCAACTTGCTTTCCCTCTCTTTTCTCATGTGTAAAATGAGAGAATAATAGTACCTACCAAAGAGATTTATTGTAGCACTCCTAGCATTAAAATAATTCAGGTGAGCATTTCACACACACATAAACATAAGCTATTATTTTAGCTTGACCAAATACCTGAGTCAGTGTAGTTGCTCAATAAATGGTAATTAAATTTTAATCAGAAGTAATCATGTTAACAGAAGGACTGAAGTTTGTATGAAATTTAGGAGGGAAGGGACATAGAGGAAGAATCCAAAGCAGGCATATTCCATATTTACCCAGTAACTTTGCAGATGGTGGCTTTGATCAATGTCCACAAAGATTTCTCTTCCCTTCGTAGGTCAGCCTGTAGCGCAATAGTCTGTCACAGGTGAAATATGCTGTTAAAATCCTCCAGCTCTAATTTATCTTCTGGTCAGCTCAACATATACCAAACAATGCTCTGTCAGACTTTCCCAGAAACATTCTTAAGGGGGAGAGACACAGGTGAGGATTACTTCCTGTTCAATATTTCTACCTCAGTCCTAGATCCTAAGACATGCTTAAATATTATCTGTAGTTGCATATTTCCAAAAGAGATTTACTATGAAGAAACTCATAGTAAAAGCACATCCACAAAGGGTGGCTTAAATAAATATCAAGAAGAGCCAAAAAGACCAAAGAGAGATGGGGGACATAATTGTCCCAGGAAAAGGGGAATATATAATTATTGTAATTGTGCACTAATTTTAGGTCTAGAGTCATTGAGATCTGAATTTCACTTTTCAAACTCAGTCGCTCCATTCCAGGTTTAACTCACCAATCTCACACCTTTAAAAAAGTTAGAATTACACTGGCCATTTATTCAAATCTTTAATGGTTAGTGTCCTTAGTTCCCTAAAGCCCAAAATCTTCAATCTCTGATGGCAATTTTTTAAAGGAACTATTGGCATTTTATGGATGATACACACACATGTACACACACATACACACTTCCCTTCTATATATGCCTTTGGACCCAATCTCCTCTTTCCTAGATTAATGTGCCTGATTACTGTTACTCTTGGATCTTCTCAACTCTCCTCAACTCGCTATAACATAATATTGTGTCCATCTTCTCCTCTCTTGTCTTGGTTTCTGTGCAAACATTTTCTTGGTTTTGCTTCCCGCCTCATTAACAGTTTCTCAGTCTCCTATGCTGATACCTTCTTCATTCTCTCAGCCTCTGCATGTTTGGGTTCCTTAGCATTCTGTTATGGGGTAATGGCTCCCCATCTTAATAAGAGTAAAACCCTATAAGACCCTACATCATTTGCACCCCTCACTCCCTTTCTGATTGGGTAGTCCCATTTCTATCCTTCCCTTTACATCAATACTCTTTGAAATATTAATCACTACGTATTGTCTCCACTTTCTCTCTCCCCATTTTCTCTTAAAATCATGCTTTCATCCAAACCACACCACTCCACTGCACTGAACAGCTATTGTCAAGGTCACAAGTGACTTCCTAGTTGCCAAATACAAAGATCAATGTTCAGTCCTCCCCTTCTGTGACCTGTCCACAACATTTGGAAAGTTGAATGCCCTCTCCTTTGTAAAATACTGATTCACTTGATTCTGGGACACCACTGTTTCTCATTTCTTCTCCTGCCTTACTGACCTATCTTGCTTTTGGCTTAGATCCTCTGCATCCTGCTGACAACTAAATATTGGAATAATGCTTCAGTGATTAGTCCTCAATATATTTTTTCCTCTACTTACGCTAATCTCCTAGGTGGTTCTGTCTACTCCCAGAAATACCATCTATATACGGACGATGCCCAGATTTTTATCTTCTGCCCAGAATTCTTATCTGAATTACATATTTGTACACTTACCTGCAAACTGTACATCTGTACTAATAGGCATTTCAAGCTTAACACATCTAATACCAAACTACTGGTAGTACAGCCTGAAACCTGCTCCTCCTACAGTCTTCACCATTTCAGTAAATGGCAGTGTTATTGTTGCTATTGTTCAGTTATTTAAACCAAATGCCTTGGAATTAAAAAAGCTTTGTCTCCTTTTTTATCCCATATTCCATAAGCAACACTCAAATAAATCCTACTAGTTTTACCTTCAAAAAATAAACAAAAATCAAATCAAAACTAAACAGAAATAGAACCCAGCCACTTCTCACCATATCATCTCCATTGCTTTTGCTGTCATGCAAGCTATCGTGGTCTCTTGCTAGTGACTTCAAACGAGGCTCCTAATTAGTCTGCTGGCTTCTATTCTTGCCTCTTTACAGACTGTTCTCTACACAGCAGAGCGATCCTATTAAAATGTGTTAGATCACATCACTTCTCGGCTAAAAACTATCTAATGGGGCTCATGTTGTTTAGAGAAAAGCCGAAGTCCTTACAGTACCTTTTAAAGGTCTTCATAATCCAGCCCTTGGTTTCTCTAACCTCATCTTCTACCCCCTCCCTGTTGCTCACTCAACCCAGGTCACACTTCCATCGCTGCTATTCTTGGAACATGACCGTGTTAGTCACGCTCTTGCATAGGACTTTTTCACTTGCTATTCTCTCTGCCTGGAATACTCTTCCCCCCAGGAGCCACATTTCCCACCCCCTTTCATTCAGTTCTTGGTTCACATATCACCTAGGAGAGACTACCCCAGCCCATTTGTTATTAAAAACATCTAGTCACTCTCTAACCCTGTTATACTGATTTATTTTCTTCATAGTATTTATCACCAAGTGAAGAATTTTGTTTGTTTATTGTCTGTAATATCTAATGAAAATGTATGTTCATGAATACATGTCAACCACTGTTTTGCTCACTGATGTGAGCCCAGTACCTAGAATTTTACCTGGTATACAGTAGGTGCTCAATAACTATTGAGTCAGAGCATGAAATGGGCTTTCTTTTTACACTACAGTAGAGTTCACAGATTCAAATACCTTCAGTGGTACTTCAAATACAGTAATTCATTTCACTCATTCATTCATCCCAGCATTTGTTGAGCTAAACCCTTGGGCTACAGTGATAAAAAATAAAGCAGTTCTTATTCACATAAAGTCTGATCAGTTTCCTCCCTTTTTTTCCCCTAAATTTCTTATGCCTGCCACCACTCCCATTGAAATGTGTTCCTTCTGAGTTTTATATCTTAATAAAATGCTATTTGTCACTACATAGTCAGCTAAGTTAAAACTTGAGGGTGTATTTTGCCTCTTCTTCCTTCCTATCTCCCCGCAAACCCAATCACTTACCATGTTCCATCAGTTTTACTTAGTAGGATCTCTAAGAGCTGTCCTGTCTGTTCCGTTTTTGCCAAATAAATTTCACTTTTGTAAGCCTTACCACGACTACCTTCTTAGTCCCGCATCATCTTTAACTTGAATTAATTCAGTGGATTTTCCTGCCTTCTCTCCTGCTCCCATCCCCTCCAACCTCTTTTCTACACTGTAACCAGGGTGATCTTTCTCAAGGGCAAATATGACCACATCACTCCTCTTCTTAAAACCCTCGATAGCTTTCCATTGCCCACAGGACAATATTCAAATACCTTAACATGGTCTCTAACACCTTCAATTATCAAGTCCCTGCTGACCTTTCTAGCTTTAGATACTGTTATTCTTTAAGCCCAGTTCACATGTGACCTTCTTCAAGATCTTTCCCAGACCTTCCTGTGTTCCAGTGAACACTCCAGGTAGACCACCAGCATAACCTGACCATACTTCATTAGGAAGAATAGTTTGTCCAGGAGAATGACTATTTTTTTCACTGGAGTGTTAGTGCTAAGTAGTCACCTCATGATTTCAAATATCTTCTCTGCTGGAATTGTTTTCTTCCTTCCCAGAACTCCCACTGTGTTTCATCCATCTCTTTCTTTAGACACCTTTCATTCCAGTTAGCTCTCTACTGCTATCACTACTACTAGGCTGAGAGCCCCTGGAGGGCAGGACTGTGTACCTCTTACTTTAATCAGCTCTCCAACCTAGGTAACACTGGGCCTGTTTCCCTGGACTCAGTTACAAGGTAGCCAATCAGTGCTTGCTGAATGAATGACTTTAACATCTTATATTACATTTCTATCACACAGTTTCCCTTTGATGACATGATTTCATCATTTAAAAGATGCTATTATAATATTTAGGTCTACTAGTTTGCTAAAGAACTGTTTGGCATTCCCTGTTTTTCTAAATTTGGCAACAAAATTATCAAACAAGGATTTAGTGAATTTCTCACAGAAAGTAACATTCTTTTATTATGTGAGAGACTTAATTTTTATTGTTGAAACCAAGTCAATATATGTTTGATCCCTAAATTGCTGGTTTTTCTATTTCTCTTTATTAAACCAATCTTTTATGACTGATTTCACTATTGGCTGAACTAACTCTGCAGTTGACCTTAGTTAAGGGAGACAAAAATGGTACTATTATCAAGCATTTAGGTAAAAAATAATGGGAAATAAACTAATACTTCCAATTGGTATTTTGAGATTTGAGGATATTTATTTATTTGTCTTTCAGTGGAATTGTTTTGATAAAATCAGTACCAAAATAATTTGTTTTTCATTGTCTAATTGGAAGAGATATATTGGAATCACAAAAACAGCCCAAATGCAGCTTCTCCTGATAATACCATTTCAATGATGGGCATCAGTTCTGAATATCTTCCCAACAATTCTTAGGCACAGATATCATTCTATTTTGCTCCTCCCAGTTGGCTCTGTTTGTAACTCATCAAGTATCTTGGGTAAGTCCCATGAGTCATAGAAGCTGAGAGTGAGCTAGATCAGAAATACTGGATGATCACTATAAAAGGCACACTTTGACCTCTTAAATTATGCCAAGTTACAAGGCTCTTTCATGATTGTTGATCTGACACATTTAAATCATTTAAATGATCTGGTGTCTTCAATATTTAATTTATTACTAATGAGAGACTGTAATTGCTTGAATTAAGTAGACTACATTTATCATAAGGTCTGGCACATTTCTACTTCCATTTTAAAAACAATATCAAAGAAAAAATGTAGAAAATTAGATGCATGAAAATGCATTGTCTAATCAAGAACCATGATCATTACCAGCTGTCAAAGGATATCTTAAAATATTTAATGAGCTAAATTAAGCTGTAAAGACATGTCATACCTTTTTATAGAAACTTGCCTGAATTTGACCCTTTGATTTTACTCCAGTGCAGCATGAAACAAGGAGAGAGAAGGAACAGAACATAATGGAAGAAACAGCAACAATCCAGGAGTTAAGATACTGAGCTCAAGCACATTTTGCTGCCCAACTTCAGGCAAGTCATTCTCCTAGTCTAAGTTTCCTTTTTACCCCCCTGTAAAATCAGATGATTAGACTGGATCAAGGGTTTAATTGCCACATAATCCATGCCTATTCCGTGTCCATAAAATTCAATTCAGCTGAAGTCCATTCAAGCCAACAATCATGAGGAACAGCTACAGCAGCATATTATAAAATAATATCATAAATTATAACATGACCACAGTACAAAGCTTTAGAATCAAAGACAAGAATTTGCAGGCTCTTAACTGACTATCTGTATGACTCTAAATAAACAAATTTACCTTTCTGAGATGTAGTTTTCTATCCATAAAATGGGGATGATGATGATACTACATATCTTTCATGATTGTTGTTAAAATCAAATGAGGTAATGGGTGTTTTGAATTATGCCATGAACATATCTTAGAGAATGTAAAGATAAATCTTACCCTGCTTACCCTTAAAATGATTATAGGCTAGAAAAAAACAGCAAATAAGCAATGAACTTAGACACAATGCAGTCTGTGAGGAACGCCACAAGGGAATTACAAGCCAAGTGATTTGAGAATCATGAAGCCCAGGGGAGCTATTTCAAATTGAAGACTCAGTGATCACTTACTGAGTATCTACTTTGTGCTGAGCATGGGGGTAAAGAGATGGACAGGAATGGTCACTTGCATTTCAGGTGTTCAAAAGACCTGTGAAATGATTCTTAAACATTTTGCCTCAAAGACTCCCTTTAAGAAGCAGATCCAAGTAAGGACTCTATCCTCAGAAATAGCGGCACATAATTTTGCATTCAAGACCAGAGGGTTCAAGAACACTGCAGAAATTCATTCTTACACATTGTGCTCATTAATTCCAGGTTAAAAATTTCTGGCTTAGTTGAAGTCTTCATAAAAAAGGTAGCATTGGAGGTGAGTTCTGGAGAATGGCTAGAATTTCAAATGGTGTGGAAGAACAATCTTCTTGGTCTTTGAACCTGTCTCCTCCAATCCCACAGCTCATACTGACCACTTCTGCACATTTGTTGGCTTAGGATAAAGTGCCTAGTTTCCACTTTGCTGTCTTTCTTGACATCTGTGTGCTCCCTAATTCATGGATGCTTGACTGACTTCTGGATCCAAGATTCTTTTCAAGGACCTCAGGCTTCTGAGCTCGCCTACTCTGCCACCCTCCATCTAGGCATTTATCCCCCTATACCTGGTCCCACTTTTTTATTGTTGCCAATGTCTTTCTTCTTCCATTCCACTTCCCATGCTGTCTTTCTGATCCACTGCCAGCAACAGGCCCAATGGAATGACCGAACATGTAGTGAAGAGTTATTTTTGAGCCAGTATGTCTTAGATCCAATGCCTACTCTTAAGAAATTCAGCCTAGCCCATTAGTTCTGTTTTTTTCATTGCCCCAGTTGGTCTTTGATTTAATGTCATATCTACATAAGACTTTATTTTTCACAGAATAGACCAACTGCAGTAACAAATGATTCCCGAATCTCAGTGGGTTGACCCAATAAAATTTGTTTCTTATGTACCTTTCTGTCCAGTACAGGTAGACAGAGGGGAGGCTCAGCTCTAAGCAGTTTTCTAAGTTCAAGGCTGGCAATGTTCCATACATTGCTCTCAAAACTGTTTTGAGAATTGGCACCTAGAAGGCAAGAAGGAATGAGTCAGTGGTGGTGTGGTGGTGGTGGGTTGGGGGAACTCTGGATGGAGGTAACATACATCACTTCCACTGGCCAGAACATGGCTGTGTGGCCCTACTAACTGGAGCCAGGAGGAAAAGCAGTCTAGTCTGGGCTCATGAAGAAAGGGGAAAGAATTTAGTGAACACGTAATACAATCTCTACCACAAATAACCGTTATTTCATTCAGTCCTCCTAAGAACTCTGGGAGTTAGGTGACAAGGGTTAATATCTTCTGTTTACAGATGAGAGAATAGGATCTGAAAGATGAAGTGAACTGCCCAAAGCCACAGAGCTGGTAAATAGCAGAAACTATAGTCAAACCCAGGCCATCTGCTCCAGTACCCAAATTCCTTGTTTCATACAATGTGATCTGTAAGTTATACTAAAATATAACCCCTGAGTGTCAAGGGGAGAACCCTTAGGGAAAATTACATCAAAGTGAAATCTGGTGACAACCTACATCAGAGAAAAGGCTCATTAAAATGCAGATTCCCTGGTCC